AAGGAGGGGGCTTTGTAGAAAACGAAGCGTTTGAGAGAGGCGGGGCATAGAGGACCTACAATAATGGACAGAATTTGAAAAATAATGTGTTTTTTGAACATTAAAGCATGTCAACATATTCTGTTACACCAAATACACCAAATAATGATCTTTAAAAAAGCATCATATGACCCCTTTAAACGAACAAATGATATAATGATATTAAATTCTAGCATGAACAATGAATCATTGAATGATGGATCAAGCAAGGTCAAATGCTCTTCTTTTGTCCAAGCTCGACTAAATTATATAAATTAGGTTGCAGAAACAGTCTTGACATGTTTAGAATGGCATCAGTTGAATTGGCCTTATGTACATAAATGGACCAAATACACAGTGCTGTCGTCCAAGATACACAGAAAAACCAACTCAAATCAAACTAATGTGAAACCTCTATAATTTCACATGGTCTGGAGACATAAAGTTATTACATGCATGCATTTAACACGCCATCATAAATGTACATTTAATAAATTTCAAGACCTTTCGAACTAAATTTCTAATATTTTTATTATCACATATAACAAATATTGTTATTATCTGAATGCACATTAACTAGTAAACATTTAATCAGTAAATTTTGTAGCAATATGTGCATACACCGAATTAAAAAAAAAAAAGTGTTAAATCTAGGAAGAAACAAGGTTTTAAACAATTATGCTTAACATTTTTCATAACATTCATGCAACAGTTTGTGATTAAAATGAGGTCATAACAGTACTTGAAAAGACTTTCATTTTTTGTTCCTCATTATAAATTACACAGTCATACATCAAAGAAGAATTCTGGGGCTTCTGTGCTTTTTTCTTTGTAGTAAATTTGGAAGTCTTTATGAAAGAACTTATTTTACTGATTAATCGAAAGGCTTCATTCTAAAAAGTTCAAAATGCTAATTATTTTTCAGCACTACAAATGGTGGCGCAACTAAGAAAAGACCAATCACAATCCACTCTACAAAATATTACAAAGATATAATCACTGTCGATTACATTTTCTATTAATTTCTATCAAATTTCTATCAATTTAAGGTGTACTCAGTGAGTTTGTATTTAAGTTTTACTGTTTAGTAAATGCCCCAATACAGCCAATGGTCTTGGACTTTACACTGACACTCAGTTTCTGCCACTTCGTAGTTCATTCTTGATCTGTGTATCCAATATGGCAGACCACCTATGAATAGCAGCCCACAGAAACAGCCGCCAATGCAGTACATATAGTTACCTTTGGTAGCAGTTGTAGTAACTCTGTATAACATTCTTGGCCATGTTATGTTACCCCTAGAGGGGTCCACTGCATGTACAATAAAACAGATTTTCTAGATGAAAACATATTGCGATAGAGTCCTTATAATGTCACTGAACACCAAATGTTATTTATTTCTTCATATGTACGTTTTTAATTAGCATACTGAATGTACATTTAGATTTATTAAACCCATACAATAAGTGGTTCGAAGTTGTAAATTCTGCCCTGCAACCAACTGTAGTCATGTTTGTTATATATTCATTGCATAGCCTACAGCTTAAATTTACAATTGTATAATAATTTATACATTAAGCACACAAATTCTGTATAAAAACATTCTGGTATTAAAGAAGTATAAACCTACATCCTGAGAAAGACTCCGATGATTCTGCCTTGCCGGACCGCCTGACCACATAAGCCTCACACACAGAGCACCGCGAGAGAAGATATACAACGGAGAATAACTGCATACAGACACACCGTGAGAGAAGTCACATAACGGAGAATACACGGGTACAGATCAAGCAAATGCACCTCATTCAATCTTTGACTGAATTTAGTTAGAGGTTGCAAAAAATAATAATAATAAAAAAAAGCGTGTCAGTTAATTTCACAAATTTATCAACATATAGGCTACGACAGAGAAATTGCAATAGTAGCCTATGTTTATCAGACTTTTAGCTTTTATATGTCTGCGACCAAGAGAAAAGGTTTTCAAACTGCAAACCATGTATTTATATTTATATATGTAGGTCAAGGCATATTAATTACATGTGTAAATGCAATAAAAAGTTGACTGAATAAACCTCATTACAAAGAGAATACATAAGCGTTACATAAATACAAAAACCATACCGTACCCATTTCAGCTGCAACATGGTTGATGTGTGTCTGGTCCCTGACTCACTGCCACACCGAGTACGTACTCAAACTACGGCACTATATTCACGTTTACTTTACCCTCAACACCCTCACACCAGGAAACATGAACTAACGTCATATTTGGCAAACCTGTGACGAAATTCACCGAGAGACCATTTCCTTTATTAATAGCCCCCAAAATACTTAAAATACAAGGCAGACATTTTACTTACACAATAAAAATGAATAATAGGCTTTGAATGTTTAACAATAAGATTCCCTTTTTGGTTCTCAGACTGTAAGTACTTGTCTGTTTGGATTTGTATTCAGCAACATGTTTTTATTGGGGCCAGAATTGGTAAAACCTTCAATTATATGTCTGCTGTGTTGCAGTTAGGTCAGAAAAGGTTTTAAACATTTGAAACGGAAAATACAAGTTTTAGTAAAACTACATCATATGGTGTCTGGGACCCCAAACAATCAAGTAGCTCTATGGGCGTACGCGGGGGACGTATTATATGTATGTATGTATGTATATATTTCTGAAATGATGAACTTCTGAAATGATGGCTACGCCCCTGAGTAGATCACAAAAGAACAGATGAAGGTTAAGGTATTAAGTGTAATTATCTGGGTTATTCCATACTACTTAGGCCTACATGTTTTGACATCATTGTGAAACTTTACAAAGAACCAAAAAGTGGAAACTTTTGTACGGAGACCAGTGGCTTGTAGCACGAAGCCGGTTTCAAGAAGGTGGGTTGGTTTTTAGCGGGTTTCGTCGCCATGGTAACTTACGCTACACGGCCCTGCTTCGGAGCAGGTTTTATTCTGGGTTAGAGATCCCAAACCCAAACTGGACCAAACAGCAGTAAGCAAAGTGACATATATCTGATGCAATGAAGCCAAGCCACTCCCCCGTATCTCTCACTCCAAATTAAAGTAGTTTACAGCCAAAGACATAATTGCCCGACTTTTGCAGCTACTTATTTATTATTCAGACTAGAACTCCTGTCACTAAAGCAACACTGCACGGTTGCGACGAACGCAGACCACAGCACTACAGAAACCGATACTTACAAGCATATGCTCACTGCATTTGACACATCAACTTACACAAAGGATAATAAAAGTGCACAATTTGTGTACATATGATAAAGAAGACGAAGATACACGTGTACTCAATGGAAAAGTAAAAATATCACAAGATGAAAGTCCAGATGTTGGTCACATAACGTTAAAAAACAGGATCCTTGAAGTAGATCGCCATTCAGAACGACATTCTACTACTCATGTCTGACTGCCTACTGCATCAAAGGGGCTGGACTGTGTAGAAAAGGAGGGGCTGATTTTAATATTACAGAAACGCCATATGAATGGATTAAATAGCAAAAATAAATAAATAAATAAAGACGTCAGTGAGACGTTCAGTGAGATGAGTGGATGTTGCAACGTCATATTAAAGAATCCGTCCGAACGCCATATTAAATAAGCGCCGTTAGGCGATAAATTAACGGCAGACGCCACCACGCGTTAAAATAACGCCACACGCCGACCGACGTTAAGTTAACGCCACACGCCACTTAAGATGCAGATTTATTTGCTCATCTACATGGACACACCTCTCATGGCTACAAGGACTCTACGGCAAGTCGGAGCATCCAGTTTGCAAGAGCGCGAAGATGGCAAGTACAGCCCTTACAATTCTAGATGTAGGGGGAAAAATGCCCCTGAATGAGCTTTTGTCTCATAAAGTTATCACACAGGTAATGAATGAGTGCAAATTTGGAAATTATTTTACACAACAGTTAAATAAATAAGAAATGTTATGGTAAGTCTTGCAATATATTGCTAAATATATTTATAATCAGTCGTGAAAATGGACAAATGGGGGGGGGTTAAATAATAAATAAATATATATTATATTTATATAGAATATATATATAAAAAATAAAATGTAATGACATTTTGGATGTATTTAATTATAAATCTCTTTGTAATATATAATAACATTAAATTTATTTCATATTTTCTCTATCATAACCCTTCTTGGATATTAAGACACCTGCAATTTTGGCCAAATTATAGATATTTTGTGTGTGAATTTGCACATGCTATAATGTAAGCATCATTAATGACCCCTTGTGTTTAATAAAATAAAAAGATTGATTAGTGAAATAAAAGAATGATTTAATAAAAAATGAGAATGATTAGTAATTGTCTCTCATTGGCCTGATTAGCTAAAACCTTTCGTGGTACAGTATTGCATGATTTGTAGATTATATTTAATACACTTTGCATAAACGTTTGCAATTAGTTTTTAAAAGGTAACATTACAGTCTTAAGGCCTCTACGCTTACATTTTTTAAAAATATATATATTTTTGTTAGGAACAACGTCTGATCAATGACAGAAATTAACCTTATAGGGCAAAATTTGCAGTTTTGTCATTCATTATAACAAACAAAGTGTAGAGAAGATGTAATAATAGATTCAGTGTGCAGTGTAGGGAGCCTCATTAATTAAAATGGAAGTTTGTGAGATCGCAATGAACTAAGAGGAGTGACAGCTTTTTAAAGGCAGTTTGCAAATGTGAAATTTAATTTACCTACAAGAGTTTTATACATTTTGGATTTTATACAAAAGTTAACATAAGGACTTACATTTCAGGAACACTGTTGTCTGATTGTGCTCTATTTCTTAAACAAAAAGTTAAAACAAAGTCACAGCTGATCCGCTGCACATCTCCAAGCAAACACACAGCTGTTTCGTTTTTGAATGAATCTGCCTTTTTGAACAAATCTAGTGAGTCAGTGATTTAATCACCCATTCATAAAGAGAGTCACTTGCTTCGTTCTTAAATGAATCAGCCGTTTGAACGAATCAATTAAATAAATGATTCAATGACAAGGCAGTGACAAGAATAAATTGAGTCATTTAAATAATTTTATATTTCTATATTCAAAACCTTATATTTTAAACATTAATCTCATAACATCGTTATTATGAAATGCATTAATGCCACCTCTGAGTCTTGTCAAAAAGAGTTCTGTGCCTTGCAAAGATTAATTGATTTTGAATTGAATTGATCATGCTGATTTCATTTGACTGGTAACTTATTATTCTTGATTGTATTTTATTATTTTAATAGAATTTATTGTTTAATTAAAATTTTTGATAAAAGTTTATAAATCTAAATGTTTTGGCTCAAAATATGACATACATTTAATAAAGTTTGAAAAATGGGATTACAAAGGTAAAAAAAAAAA